CAGAGACACATGGGAACCTTAGCCACCAAGAAAGCAGTGCCAGGAGCAGAGTACATCCTTCATACCTGAGATTCTTGCGCTGAGATACTCCCAGATCAAGGGAAGACTGATGCATCGCAAGGACCTTCATCCAGAGCTGACAACGTGTTCCCCTGGAGCTGATGCACTGAATTTGGACTTGTAGCCTACTGGACTGTGAGAGGATAAACTTCTGTTTGTTAAGTACTTTTGGTATTTCTGTTATAGCAGCAGTAGATGATTTAGACACACAGTAACAAGCCGAAAGCTCTTTCTCAAAAGGAGAGTAGTTATCTTAAGATGATGGCAGGGCTTTGCTCCAGAATCCTAAGGGTCTGCACTGTGGTTCACCAATATGGGCCTGCCAGAGACTCCAAACAGCGTCTCTATCTGCCACGGACACTTGAGCACCATTGGAACAGCTAGATCATATGGCCCAAGTGGCAGAGCGACTTGCACAGCAGCAGGGATCTGGTGTAGAGCCTTGTCTTGTTCTGGGCCCTACTCAAAACTAGCAGCTTTTTGAGTCACTTGATAAATATGCCGGAGTAACATATATGTTGCCTCCAAAATCCAAAGAGGCCCACTAGGCGTTGTGCCTCTTTTTTAGTTATGGGAGCAGCCAGATGCAGTAATTTATCCTTCACTTAAGAAGGAATATCGCAACATGCTGCACACCATTGGACCCCTAGAAATTTCACTGAGGTAGAAGGTGCCTGAATTTTTGTCAGATTAATTTCCCACCCTCTAGCACACAAATGTTTTACCAATAAGTCCAGAGTCATTGACACTTCTTCCTTACTAGACCCAATCAGCATAAAGTCATTAATGTAATGGACCAGTGCAACATCTTGTGGAAGGGAAAGGTGATTAAAGTCCCTGCGCACTAAATTGTGACACAGAGCTGGAGAGTTGATGTAGCCCTGAGGTAGACAAGTGAAGGTGTATTGCTGGCCTTGCCAGCTGAAGGCAAACTGCTTCTGGTGGTCCTTTGAAACAGATATGGAGAAAAAGGCATTAGCCAGATCAGTAGCTGCATACCAGGTACCAGGAGATGTATTAATTTGCTTAAGCAATGAAACTACATCTGAAACAGCAGCTGCAATCGGAGTCACCACTTGTTTAAGTTTTTGGTAATCTGTCATTCTCCTAGATCCATCTGTTTTTTGCACAGGCCAGATAGGCGAGTTGAATGGGGATATGGTGGGAATCACCACCCCTGCATCCTTCAAGTCCTTGATGGTGGGTTTGTGTCTTGATTTTGGTTCTTTTTTTTTTTTTTCTTTTTCATTGTACTTCATATGAAGGTTTACAGAACAAATAGTTTCTCATTAAACAGTAGTACACATATTGTTTTATGACATTGGTTAGCAACCCTACGACATGTCAACCCTCTCCCTTCTTGACCTTTTTTTTCAGTGAAAATACACATTTGGCTCTTATTTTTTGATGTGTGCATTTATTGCTATGAATTGACCCTTGAGTACTGCTTTTGCTATGTCCCAAAGGTTTTAGTATGTTGTGTTTTAGTTCTCATTTGATCCAGTTGCTTGATTGTGATGTTTAGATCTTCTGTATCTTTGTTGAGTTTTCCTTTCTAGTTATTCTTTCATCAAAGGTGGTGTATTAGAGGCTTCTACTATTATTACGAAACTATTTGACTTTTCAGTGCTGTTAGAGTTTATGTATTTTTGAGCTCTGTCATTGAGTGTATAAATATTTATAATGCTTATGTCCTCTTGGTGAATTGAGCCTTCAATCATTAATGGTGGATTTTGCCTTAAAGTGTTTTTTATCAGAGGTTAATATTACTACTCCTGTTCTTTTTTGGTTTACTGTTTGCTTGATATATATATTTTTTACTTTTCTTTGATTTTTAGCTTATTTATATCTGTCTAAGTTGTCATTTTTTTTTTTGTTTTAATCCATTCTGTTACTCTATTTGTCTTGACTGGTGCATTTAACCCATTTACATTTAGTGTGTATTTCTCTTGACTGGTGTATTTAACAGACTTACATTTAGTGTGATTATCGAGAGCAATGAATTAACTGCTGTTGTTTTGTTGTGCTTTTTTTTTGGTGGTGTTGATGTTTTCTTGGTTCCACTTTTCTGTACTGAGTTCCTTTTGTTTACAGATTTTCTTTTCATTTCCTTCGTTGTTGTTGATTTTGTGTTTATTGAGTCTATATGGTTTTTTCTTTTTTACTTTGGTCAGTACGTTTATTAATTTTTTTTTTTGTGTGGTTACCCTGAAATTTACTTTTATCTTCCTAAGTTTAAAACAGTCTGTTATATCTTGAAATCACTTTGATTTTTTTCTCCATATGGAAGTTTATACCTACACCATTTTATTTTCTCCTTTTATTTTAAAGTTGTTGTTGTTTACAGATTTACATCTTTGGTTCCCTTTTTTCTGTCTTGTAGCTTTATTTTATTTTTGAGAGTTATTTATCTTGATTGGTATCTAGGTATGCTGTTATGTTTCTTAATCTCAGGTTGTTGCCTGGTGGTGGTGTTTCTCTGTCCTGAGGACTCCTTTTTATTTCTTGTAAGGTTAGTCTGGTTTTTACAAATTCCCTTAATTTTTGTTTATCTGGAAATGTCCTGGTTTCACCATTGTATTTTAGAGACACTTTTGCCAGATATATAATTCTTGGTTGGCATTTTTTTTCTTTCAGGGTTTTATGTATGTTGTCCCATTGCCTTCTTGCCTACATGATTTTTGCCAAGAAATCAGAGCTTGGTCTTACTGATTCTCCTTTGTAGGTGACGATTTGTTTTTCCTGAGCTGCTCTCAGGATTCTTTGTCTTTGGTTTTGGAAAGTTTGATTATGATATGTCTTGGTGACTTTCTTTTGGGATCTAGTTAGTATGGGATGCGTTGAGGTTCTTGGATAGATATCTTCTCGTCTTTCATGATATTAGGGAAGTTTTTGCCAGCAAATCTTCAGAAATTTTCTCTGTGCCTTTTTTTCTCCTCCTCTTGTTCTGGAATTCTTATCACACGTAAGTTATTCCTCTTGATAGTGTCCCACATAACTCTTAGGCTTTATTCATTTTTCTTCCTTCTTTTTTTTTCCTGAATGTTCCTCAGACAAATTACTATCAGGGAATTTGTCCTCTATTTCACTGATCCTGTCTTTCTTTGATTCAGTTCTACTCTTATGTGCTTCCATTGAGTTTCTGAAATTTTATTGTTGATCTTCTGGATTTCTGGTTGCTGTTTTTGTACAGTTTGTAATTGTCATTTTGTGCTTATGTTATTTTCTTGAATTCTAGAGTTTTGTGTATGTATTCCTTTGTTCTGTGTGTGTTTTTCTTGATCTCTCTGAGGATCTTAAATATAAGTCTTTTGAATTCCTTATCGGGTAGTTCCATTACTGTTTATTCCTCAGGAAGGTTTTCTGGTCCTTTATTTTGGTTACTTGGTTGAGCCATCTTGTCCTGCTTCTGTACGTGATTTGATATTGTCTGTTGTCTCCGACGAATTAAGGTGTTGTTATTCATTTATTCATTGTATGTATGTTTGCTTCATCCTGATGTTTTGTTTTGTTCTGTTTTGATATGTTTGGGCAGGCGGCGGCGGTATGATAATCTGTTCGTTAGTTTGGCAGTACTAGGGCGGTCACCCCTATCCCTGGGTGGGTGGGGTAGTGACTGGGAGTGTGAGTGCAGGCCTCCGTTTGCTGGTCATGTGGGGGAGCTGAGGCAGGCCTTCTGTCACTGATCCTGTGGCTCAGGAGCAGGCAGTAGCATTTGCTGAGTAGGTGAGGTGGCAGGTGTGGTGGTGGAGTGGGGGACACAGTCACTGCCACTCATTGGGTGGGGGGTGGGGAGGCTGATGACGAGTGGGTTAGCACATGGGTGCGATGTCGTCGCCACTTGCAGGGTTGGGGCGTGCTGGTGGCAGGTGGTTCTGCCTGTGATTGCGAGGTCATGAACCCTTGCTCAGATGGGGGTGGGGAAGTGGGTGGCAGGTGAGTGGGTGTGCAGGATCGCGCTTACTGCTGCTTGTCAAATGGGCAGAGATGGGTAACGGACGGAGCTAGGGGAGGGGGTCTTGTATTATGGTCTCTGGTTGGATGGTGTGGCTAGGGTAAGGGACTTTCTGCCCTGGCACTTCCTGTCTGCTGCAGCCAGCTGTCACGACCTGCCCCCAGTCAAGTGCAGGAAGGGGGGGGTGCTCAGAGTGGGTCAAATGGGGAATCCCTTCCAATACCCTGTGGATCCATCGCCTTGTGTGTGCCATTTACCCCAGAGATCTGGGACTGCAACTCATGAGTGTACCTGACTCTGGATCCTGACTCCCTTCCTACTCTGTGGACGGCAGGATCCCTGGAATTTTTGCCCTCCTTTGTTTTCCTTCCTTATATCTGGATCATGAGCCGCTCACCTTCTCTGTGGGTGTGTCTGTACAGTTTCTCTGTCTCTTATGGGAGTGTTGTGAAGTTGCTTTCCTGTGCTTCTTAATCTGGGGTCGTTACTGGCTTTGTCTCAAGATGGGCGTGTTGAGCTGGATCAGCTGGTAGAGCCACTATGCTCCATGTTACTCCTTGTTCACTGTGTTCATTTGACATTTTTCTTTCAGTCGGTGTTTGATTCAGTTCTTAATCTTTCCTTTTTGATGTTCAGGGTACTGGATTGGTATCTGCATGGTATCACTTGAGTTTTTGGGCGTTTGCTGTAGAGGGACACTATGGTATGTCTGATTAAGCTGTCATCTTGGCTCTGCTGATTGGTTTTTTACTACCAGTAATAATTCTTTTTTTTTTTTTCCAAAATTCAGTATGTGACATGCAATTACAATGATTTCAGTGGATATTTGTGCATCTGGATAGCTTGAAAATTATCATTTTCATGTTTTCTGATTTTTTTTTGTTAAAGAGGACTTATCACTCTGAAATTCCTGCAGAATGAATCTGTTTAAACTTTTTTTTTTTTTATTAAATGCAGTAAATTTCTTTTTGTATTTATGTGACAGATTATGGCTTGCTAACAACACCCCAGCTGCACTACATGGTGTACTGTCGAAATACCAGTGGCCAGTATGGAAAGGCAACTATAGAAGGTTACTACCAGAAACTCTCTAAGGCTTTTGTGGAACTTACCAAACAGGTGAAAATCTCTTGAACTT